AGGAGATGGAAGATGCACTACACTTACTACAACAGAAGGGAGACCATTGGGTACTAGGTACAGCAAGTATAATGAAGGGATGAGCAGAGAGCCTTTGGGAAGCCAGTGTGACCTCATCTGACCCAGGACAGCAATGCTCAAAGCTCAGCAGCGCTAGGCATGGCCTTCATCCTGTCGTGGGCAGAATGAGGCTGTGATCATGTTCGTATCTATTGCAGTGACCATCAAAAGAAAGGAAGGGTTAAGAGATTCCATCCTCACAAATGCCACCACTTATAAGGGTAATAAATTCAGAAATTTCAAAGCTTTCTTTTGAAAGCCCTCACACAGCCTCAAAATTAGCCACTGTTTTTGAATATCCATCTTTGTCAATGAGCACACCCCATATTCTAGAAAGAATCATCTTATTTTGAAAACACAGGCATATTTAATTTGTAGTGTTTAAAATATAATATCATGAAATAAACCAGACTTTAAAACATGACAGGCATTTGCCTTATGGACTCAGGTGTGTGGCCCATGAGATGAACTTCACGATGTGATTACAAAAAAAAAAAAAAAAATCAATACAAGTGTGAAAAAGATCCAAATTTCACACATAGCTCTGTTCTGAACAACCTGTTTATGGTTTTTATATTCTGGCATTAGAGCAGTTTAACAATGTTTCTTTGGTTGAGGGAAAACTATTTTCCTATAGTTATGGGTTATGAATTAAATGCAATATTATAATCATGGAAAAATTCCTCTTTAAATTTTTCTGCCAATAAAAAACACACTTAGAAATATTCTGCAGCATGTGAAAGTTTATAAGAATCTATTATCATGCTACAATTTTGGATGTCCACCCCCCCCATATCTACCAACTTCATTTACTACTATTCTTTCAAATCCTTTTGAAGATTACCATAATATTAATACTTACACCACATCTATTATGTGTCAAACACCCCCTTTTCTCTTTTTATGCCTTCTAATCCAGTATCCGTAGATCTGCCTACAACATGTATGTTCTTGCCATCTCCACATTGCAGATGAGGAAACTCAAACACATGAGATTTGTGACTTGACACACACCAAAGTGTAGAGGGAACCAAGAAATCCAATCCAGACCCACTCAGAGCTGGCACTCTAAGTATGGGTGATCCAGGTCAGATGCTCCAGAGAATCTTAGTAATCCAGTGTTGCCACTATCATCATACCACTTGCCAATTAAGACACTGAAGCATGAACTTCTCCATCATGTCCATAACCTTGAACAGCTGACCCCCTGATGAAAGACCAGCTTCATTTTCCCTTCTATGTAAATCAGTCAAAAACTTCTTTCTGGAATGAGCTAAGTACCTACTAAAACCCACACAGAGGCACTAGCTAAATCTCTGCTCTACCATCTCAATATTCCTCTAAAAACCCACAAGGAATTTATGCCACCAGACTTCAGAGTTCCTGACAGTAGTTCCTGACTTTAGCCTTAAACCCATCATTAGATAACTTTTTTAAAAAGAAAGAAAAAAAAACCCTCTTTTCTAGCCATTTTTACAACATTCTTGAAAATAAGAGATAGACAATCAACTGCAGAAAGATACTAGAATACTTCCATGCAAGTTCAAAGGAGGTGATTTTAAAAAATAAAATAAAATGGTAGGCTCCAGAACAGTACTAGAAGCAACACCCCGCAAGGAGAAGGTACATGGTTATGGACCCAAATACTCCGGAGCACACCAAGGGGCAGCCAGCAAGTTCCTATCCATAAATGCCAGAGGAACTCTGTGTCAGGGACTGAGTCTGCCGGTTATCATCCTACCGCCCTCCTGGTCAGTCAAGTACACTAGATAATAAAACATAAAAATGTAAGGGTCAAACTTTAACACAAAGACAAGAGTCTGAAGAGTACTTGTCTAATGCTGTTAACAGTTGAATATCTAGTTGTTTTTCTGGACAGCAAATGCAGAATAATAAAAAGAGTGTGTAGGTGGACTATTCTCTCCTACCAGCTGCTCCCCAAATAATCACAGAGAGATTTAATACTAATAATAAATGCTCAGAGCCAGGCAGTGGTGGCGCACGTCTTTAATCCCAGCACTCATTTCATTTCAGCAAAGATACAAAAATAAGCATCTTTTTATTAATGAAAAATTACGTTTCTCCAAAGTCCTTCAAAGGAAGAGTGGTGCATATGCCTATAATCCCAGAATTTTAGAGAAAGAGGCAGGAGGATTGGGAGTTCAAGGATGACACTCTCCTCCACACAGTCCCTAAACACCATTTAAAAATGCTAAAAATGAGTGCATGGCTAAACATCTCCACAATTTCCAAGTTAGGGGTGGGAGGAGGAGGGCTGGATCTGAGCCAAATACATCATCTATACTATGCTCTGAAGGTCTCATATGAGACCATTTCAAACCTTAGAAAATGAACGAGTTATGGCATAATGATATCTCCATGTATATAAAATGCAGATCTACTGTAGCTTTCTCAGCCCACAGGAACCCAGTTGAACACTTTCCAGGAGAAGAAAATGAATCAATTTGCCAATAACTGATTATCTTTTTACTACACTCATTCATACCTTCAGTTCTAAACCCTGAAAGACAGAAAGCAGTTTATGTAAATAATACCTGATTGAAACTACCTATCCTCTCACTCAGAGCCACAAACTGGCTCTAGAAAATGGAATTCAAAAACTTCACAAGCCAAGCAGCAAAGACACCCATGGTAAATAACCACTAACTGCTAGAACCTGGAAACCACAGAGCTCTTAACAATTTGGGCAATGGCTTAGTAGAAGGCAGTCTAAGGTCCGAATAGTCTAAACAAACACAAATTTTTATGTAGTCTTTGGAGAGTATAGCCTATAAAAACTTATAACACCAAAGCAACAACTTAGCGTGACCAAAGATATGAGTTCACCAAGCATCGCTAAAGGCAGTAATTTATGTACACCTATGCAACCGTTTTTTTGTAAGCCAAGTTGATCATTTTGGTTTTGTATCAGAGACGTGAGGCGGTCTTTCTGGAAGATGTAACCAGTCACTAACATTGGTCAGAGTTGGCACAGTGGTGGTGACTACCTAGAAAGCAGAGGATGTCCATGGCTAAGTAGCCTCTTGCTTAGGCATGAAGCCCAGTGAGTTTCTGAGACTTCTTTAGCAGTGCACAGCAGACACCAGGCTGAGCCCTCAGTTGCATCTTTGCCTATCTCTTCCTCAAGACCAGAAGGAAGAATCCTTCTCCTGGTGCCACGAACGTGATAAGCACATAAAGTTTAAGGGTTGACTTAATGAATGCACTTCATTGAGCTAACCACAATGCATGATTCTGTTCCTGGACGCTTGTTTACTATAGGGCTCTCCGTCCTTTCCTACGTTCAATGGCTACAAATATCCCCTTTTGTTTCTCAGCAAATCTGCCACATTAACCAATTTTTTACTCACAATAAGAAAATAAAAACAAGATGCTTATTGTACTCAGCTCCACATAGCTTTGTTTAGACCAATACCAGTTCAAATTAGACTTAATTCTGTTTTCATTATGTGCCTAATGCAACCTGACAAATACAACTGCCTTGCCTGCAAACTCCCCAGAATCATTCCTGTTGGGTAAATTATAAGGCCAGGAATCCCTCTTTATTTAATATTTAGTATGGTAATGAATGCTCAGCCTGCATGAATCTGCAGAAATCCATAAACCTACGTGCAAAGGAAACTGTATTTGCTAGGAATAATTTTATTTTTAAAAGAGATGGTGTGAAATCAGTATGCAGATAAACATGCCTCAAAGTTTTTATTCTGATTCATTAGTCATTGTGCTAATGATTCCAAGTCAGAAGTTTATTCTTTAGGTGGGCTATTTATTTCATTTTTGTACTCAGCAAAGACTGCATTCAAAACTGAGTCAGCAGGTGGGTATGAAGTAAACACATAAGATGACAGAATGAAGGTCCATACAAGTCCATCTCTCCACTCCATTTAGTCAAATAGTGCACACATACAATGGCTAGCGATGTAAACGATAAAACCCATTATTCACTCAGCGCAAAGTTTTCAGGCCACTTGAAATGCTTTCATATTGAATTTATCTTTCAGTGTCTTTGGGATTATATTCTATTTTTTTTTACCCTGACAATCTACAAATATCAACACTAAATATAGTTTCATGTAGTCATAACACAGTTCCATTATATAACTATAAATAATATATTCAAAAGTAAACAATCCAAATGAAGATAAGTAACAGAAGTTCTACATTTTTAATTGTTAGTTTTCGTGCGGCATAAGCACACTGTATAGCATTCTTGTCTCCCATCCAAAGGGGCTTTGGGAAAAGCGACTTCTGTTTGTTTGGGGAGACATAGCAACAGAACAAGACTGCCTTCAAGACTAGGTCTTGGTGAAAACTTAGAAAAGGCGCTGAAGAGCTAGCTCAGGAGTTAAGAGCATGCACTGCTGTTCCAGAGGGTCTGAGTTTAGCATCTGTATCAGACAACTTACAACCACCAATATCTCCAGTTCCAAAGGAATGGACATCCTCTTCTGACCTCCACAAGCACCGAATACACACACACGCATGCACACACACACACACACACACACACACACACAGAGGCACGTGCACTCACACATACTATTCCAAAAGTATAGTCTTTTCAAGAGTACCAAAGAAACCTTGTTAGAAATGTTGGCCTCTCAGACACACAGTTGAGCTTTTATGTTGACAGGTTTGAGGCAAAATCCTTTCCCACAGCTATCTAATGAGGGAGGACACAGTGTGGTTTAACCCCAAAACTCTGCCATAACCTGGAAAAGGGGTTGCATTTGACCACCGTTTCCTAGCATACCAGTCTGCCTTCTCTCCCTGCTCTCGAGGACACGGCAAATGTTTACCGTCCTTAAATTCCCTCAGCACACCTTACTTTCAGAAACGCGTGTTACTAAACAGAGTTGTTATGAACAGGATATGAAATGGGCGATCAAGTACTCAATCGAGAAACAAAATAAAAGTACCTAACGCAACAGGGTCTGGGTTGACGGGGCTCTGCTGCCTGGAGTGGCTGCTGCTGCTGCTGCCCTTCTTCAAGTCCTCAGCATCGCTGTAGCGCCGGATCCAGTAATTCAGCTCCTCCCGGTCTGCCTCCTGACACCGTCGCAGGACGGTGAGGGATCGTCTCGTCTTTTCTACCATGTCCATTATGCAGTTTAACAGCTACGTAAGGGACAGGAGGGAAAGAAAGTTATACACATCACCACAAATTTAAAAAAAAAAGAAAGAAAGAAGAATGAGGAATGAAACACACTGTTTCAGGCCAAGGAAACAGACTATATTCTTCCTGGAGACTTTAATGTGAGATTTTGGTGGAAAGACTTTTGATGGAAAGATTTGAAATTCTGACTCAATAACTGATCAAATTCAACAGAAATGAGGAGGGGGAAAAGAAGAGGTATGGATGGGATCATGACAGATACTCGCCTAACAGTAAATCTATCTTTCCAAATAGAGAGCACACTAGGCTATAACAACCTAAGTCACCCCTTCACAAGAAAACAGTGGCCTGCTGATCTGTGCTCTTCCAAGAGCTAATATTTCTCTTAAGCAGCTTTCACATCAGTTTGGAAACCAGACCTATGTCCAACTTCAAATATTCACACTCATTTTTCCCAATAACAAAACATGCAATACCTTCAAAGCTCCCCTCCCTCGCTTGTAAAACAGTTTAGTCCAAAAGATGACTGGGGTCTTACATGATCAAGATGTTTCCATTCTTCTGCCCATTCTCTATCTGTTAGTCTGTGGTCAATCATTTCTTCTTGACGTGTGCCATGTAACCCTACAAATGTGGAGAAGAAGGCTTAATCCCCCCAAAGCCTCCAGAACACAGTCAATAGTATCTGCAGTCAGCACACAGCAACAACCACAACATGTGGACGCGTGAGGACTTTGATAGGAGATCTCCAGCTGAGAAGTGGTCATCCACACAGCAAGCCTAAACTCCACAGAACAGGAGGACTCTTGTATTTGTAGTAACAAGGCAGGTCGGAGTTAGAATCTATATTTAGCCTTGTGAGGCCCTGGGTTCAATGCCCAGCAATCAATCAACCATCAATACAGTATCGAATGTGGTTACAGTGCATTAAGAATCAGGACAGTGTAAGCTTATTTAAAGTGGGCTATACTTTCTCAAGAGAGGCATGGTAAGAACTTTGTGTTGCAGCACAGATACAGGTGAATACAATCTTACTATGTGTATCTAACTGGGTCATAAAGAAAAGCTGGGAGAACAGGAAAGCTACAAATGACCAACTTACCAAAATACAAAAAGTAAAAAGAAACCAGACCTTTCTTTTCAGTGACTTTGTTTTGTTTATTATTGGAGACAGGTCTCACCATGAAGAGCAGACTGGCCTAGAACTTACTTTGAAGCCTAGGCAGGCCTTAAGCGCTCCATATTTCTACTTCAGTATACAAAGTCTTGTGAATTTAGGCGTAAGCCACTATTCATGGCACCACACTAGTCTTTATGGGGAAAAAAAAATCAACATGCCAGTTATAAAATAACCTATAAATTTTCAAGGCAAGAAACTGAAAATCCTAACACAAAGATCATGTGTATTTGGCCTTTTGCATCACTGTTACTATGAAAAGGTAATGTGGGCTGGGAAGAGGGCTCAGTCAATGAAATATCTGCCATATAAGCAAGAGGTCTTGAATTTAGATCTTCGGTCCCATATGAAAAGCCAGGACATGTCTATAATCCCAGTTCCTGGGGAGGTGGAGACAGTAGGATTGCTAGAATTCACTGGCCAGCTATTCTAGACCAATCAGTGAGCTTTAGCTTCAGTGAAAGACCCTCTGCCCAGAAATAAATTAGGCGAGGATCGAGAAAGAGACCTAGTGTTGACCTCTAGAGTCTACATCCGTGGGTGCACACGAACACAAGGCAACGTGGACACGTTTACCAAGTGAGCACCGATTTTTGTTTTCCCTAATACACGGTCTCACTCTAGCCCACACTGGCCTAGAGCTCATGGCCAATCCACCAGACTCAGCCCACCAAGTGCTGCCATAACAGACGTGAACCATTACTCCTGGCTCACCACCGACATTAATGATGAGATGTTAGCTAAGAAGCTCACAGGAACACAAAGACTATGTGTCTCACTGACAGGGCAGGAGGGTCAGGTCAAAGGTCATCTTACAGATTCACCATGGATAAAGCCCTTTACATTCTGTCAAAGAAAGGGAATTAGTCCATGACATCATTTTCTACTTTCAATGGCTGAGTCTCTACAGTTGGCTCCCAGTCGACACACCAGCACTCTAAGCAGAGAACCAGGGCCGGCAAGTCTGAGGCTTCTAGATGCGAAGGTCCCTTACTGGAGGGTCGTCTGTATGCACCAAAGGACACTAGACAGAGAAGGCACTGTGCTCTGCTCCCTGTGAAACAGGAGTGCTTAGAAGGCTTTCTCTGAGCTGAGTTAGAAGGAAAAACTAGAATGAATCACAAGGCTGTTTTCATTCATGAATATATGTGTGTCTATGGCTGATTGGATTAAAAAAATTCATGGCAGTTCTTTCTTGGGATTAAAAAAAAAATGCCAAGTATAAAATGTTTTCTATTATTTCTGTCTAATTAGAAAATATTCAGAAATAGAATTTAAAACTTAAAATTGTCAATGCCACCTATTGGTAAAAAGGCGAATTGCACATACGTTCTGCTGACTTGCATACCAGAAAAGGCTCTGAGAGAAAGTAGTGTTTAGTTATTGCTCTGTTTGTTGTGATTACTTCAAGTTGAAATGTTTGCAAATATGTAACTTTTGTTGACTTATTTGTTGCCTGTATTTTTAGGGGGAAAACACTGTTAAAATTAGTCATCCCAGAAAACAACTAGGGAGTGATAAGAATATAAATGTGACAGGGACACTCACGACAGTGGCACCTAGATATTTATTTGCCTGTAAAATCAAGAGTTATAGAAGTCATAAATATGTCAAGGTTTTAGTTCACTAAGTCAACAGCGATGCACACTCTTCACGCTCAGGACAATTAAGGAGGCATAGGATGTTTGTGGTTAGTGGCAGCCCAGAATTTGTGGAACAGTGCTGGACTTCATCTCTTTAAAAATGAATAATAGTAACTGTAGAAACGTGTTTGATTCTCAGTATTTGGTAACGACACAGGACTGGCTCAATGTGTTTAAGGTTTGAAGGTCATTTTTTGGTCTGACTGAATTAAAAAAAAGAAAAAAAGTGAAGAAAATGAAAGTTTGTGTTTGTCAGTATCTCAGTTTCACACACTAAAGCCCTCAGCCTCACATGGTTTTGTTCTTTCTGATACACAGAAGGCCGTAAAGGGGGGAACCAGCAGAAGGAGGACACTTTCCATTCATGAGATGCTTGGCACTAGTGTTGAGACGTAATTGGTTCTGAACTTCAGAAAATTCTGGATAAATGGGCCCAAATTTTAAGCTTGCTGATAAACTAACGCTGCTTACCAAGTGATTTCATTGAACTTTTCTAATGAGTCAAAGTCCCCACATGGGAGAGGCGTTTATACGCCACACCTTCATGAAGATCTTTCTACCTTCAATATGGCATCTTGATGTAACAAATGTGTTTGTCACACAGATTTTATTTTAGATTAACATAATGATCCCTGCCAGACTTTCAGGATGGTTAAGTAGTTGCACATATGTATAAAGATTAGCACTATTAGTTTTATAAGCTAGTATAACTAAAAGATGAGACACATGATCTAGACAAAACTGCATAAAACCAGTGGATGCAGACAAGCAGACACCTCACAGCACTGCATGAAAACACAATCTGTGCACACAAGCATAATAAGTTCTATGCTGATGACTCCATGGGACACGGTAACTAATACTTCACCAAAGGAAGAGCCATTTCTATGCCCACAACTGGACATCTCTTAAGCCAGTTTCACAGTGGCCAGTAGACTACACTGCTATCTATAAACAAAAACTTATGGCTGTTTGAACATCAGTTGGCTACTAAGAAAGGACAACTTGCATGCTATGCCATTTGTCTGACATGCTGTTGTGGGGACCAGACGTCCTAAGAAACCATCTCACAGCCCAGGCCTCGATCATCTTGCCTCTCACTCTGCCTTGCTGCTCTCTTTCCATGCAGATGGTACACACAGAAAGACGACAAGACCCGACATATGAAACTATTGCTTCCTAGTCACCCAGCCGGGAATTCATATCGACTCCTGCATATCAGGGCTCTGCCAGTGAAGAAAACAAAAGCCACTGTCACGATTATTCAAGCAGTGGCCAGGGGATGGGCAGTGTCCCAGGTTTCTGCATCCTCTGCTCAGTTTTCTGTTTTTCTACCTGGGCATCATCCTTTGTACGTTGCCCACTAAATTTCAAATTCCCACATTAGGTATTCTGGCCAACAACTGGTTTTGTAGTCAAGGATGCTTCCTCATGTGTGAGATCCAAAAAGGGCAGTATTGCTGCTCCCAGAGGGGCTCAGCAAAAACTAGGAGCTAGAAGTGCCCCCCAAGAACAGCATGCTCACTAGCCGCTCGATGTCCCCACCCCCAACCACAGGTACAGTAACAGCTTGCATCACTCATCCTGCCGCCGACGTTCCCAGGGCTGACACTTGTTCTTCACAAGGTAATGTCTCCTGAAACCCTCACTTCCAGTAATTTGTGAAAAGAAGACATGGACCCAGGCAAACAGAATCTATATTTACCCGAAGCCACTCCTTCCACTTTCTGATATTTGATGTAAAATTGACACTAACTGTTATGGCTTGCATTCTTAAATAATCTACCAAAGTATTCCTCAAGGAATACCTGTCCAGTTAGGCCACAGACAACATGACAAAGGATACTTAGGAAATGTGGAGTAGTATGAAGAAAGAAAATGTAAAAATCAACTTGACAGACAATTTCAGTGAAAGACAATAATTTACAAAAAAAAAATCTGTGGCTGGATCATAAACGGAACCTCGTATACTAAGGAAGAATTCAAGGAAAACCCATCTTGAGAATCAAAACTAGAATTGGTGGCTTATATTATATTTGGTGCCATACTCCAAAACCAAAAATTAACCTGTTCTCTTAGAGCATGGGGTGAATCCCACGACAGTGTTGCATGCCTAGAATCCCAACACTCAGGAGGCAGAGGGATTGCAAGTTTGAGGCCAGCCTGGTTCATGCAACAAATCACTGTCTCAGATAACTAATTAATTAATTAAAACCCAAGTGAGTAAAGAAAAGGCACGGCATATTCATAGAGTTTTTCACGAAGGAGACAACATATAGAGAGGTGTTCAACTCTATCAGGTTACATGTTCAAACTCGGTTAAGAAATAATGGCATAAATCTGCAAATATCCAATCCCCAAAGAAGAAAAGAGATCCTCCAGCTTACCCATAGGTCTAGTTCTGTCCCTGAGGTCCCTGTGGCTGGGGTGTCGATAGGAGTCCCTGTAGTGGTGGGCAATGGCCATATCATCCAAACGGTAGTGCTGAGGTGGAGGTGGGGTAGGGTGAGGCAGGCCATTTGGCTGGTAGGATAAGCCATTATTTGGACTGTACCGCTGGCCTGGGCTAATAGTGCATGCTCGCTTGCTTGGATGTTCTGAGTGCAAAGGCTCTCTGTCAAAGCCATTTTCTTTGGTTCTGAGGAGGGAAGAAAAAGAGTTTTGTTTCATAAAGGAGTCAGCATCGTTCAGACACTCCAACTCGAGTTTTTGATATCCAATAGCACACTTCTTCACTGGCCAGCAAGACCCAAAGCAAAGCTTCCCAGAAACTCTACAGGGGTTCATTCAAACCCCTGCTCGCCTGAGAGGATCACCAGGCTAAGAGCAGAAAATGCCACGCTTGTTATCAGACTAGCAAACACCTTCGCAGATATAGTTCACGTGGTTAAGCCATGAATAAGAGGAAACCCAGTCCCCTTCTACGGATGGCATGAGTAGTGCTTAGTTTCTAGCAAGCTACCCTAGTAACTGCTGCCAAGCTGGTTCCCACCTATAATCCAGCCCCAGAAAGGCTACGGAGGACTGAAAATTCAAGGCCAGCCTGGGCTACATATTGAAATCCTGTCTCAAAAAAAAAAAAAAAAAACCAGAGAAACCACCAGAGCAAAGTATCATCACTATCAAGATGAACCTATTCCACCAGGCTCTGGCTTTTGTCCCCAAGAGCACCTGAGAGCTGAGTTGTTGTAAACGGTAGTATAAAATGTAAGTCAATTCAACTTAAGTGAAGTTTGAAAGTCAATTTCCAGTAGCCACATTTCAGGGGTTCAAGGGCCACCAGGGACTAAAGGTTACAGAATTTGATCTCAAAGATACAAAATGTTTCCATATTCTTCTTGCATGAAATGATCCAAATGAACTCATACATACAGTCAAGTCTAGAAGCCCAACATTGTCTTCAGCCAACAGTCATACAGATTGCGGAGGCTAAAAGGAACACCTTGGTCACTTTTTTCTTCTCATTTTAGAAGTGGGGAGTGGTGTTGGGGGGTGAACCCAAGGGACAAACATGCAAATTCTCTATCACTCAGCTCTCGTGCCTACTTGATTTTAAAAAGTTCAACCCTAGAGAGTTTGTGTGTCCTGCCTGGGGATTCAGGGTCTGGAAATAGGAGAGGAACACCTCATTGTGAACGTGACAGTCAAAAGAAATGCATTTCCTAAATGAAATCAGATACTGGATCACTCTTCCTGGGGTTACAGACACAAGGATGACTAACAAAATATGTTATTGCTGAATAAATCTCCACTTCTTAGAGACTAACCTGATAAACAGTAAGAAAGGATAAGATTGCGTGTCATTTTGTCTGGAAGCAGAGCATTGGTAGCACCTATTCCCCAGGAAAGTCAGCCTATAAGAATCTTACCGATTCACACAGGCTGCCGAGTTCCATGTATGCTTTCCGTTTTAAGAAGTCACACAGCTATGGAACCCATGGGACAGTTTCCCTTCTTTCCCGCCATTGGTGATGGTCCTAGTCTGATTATAGCAAAGGGGCCTTGGATGGAAAACTGGATCAATGGGTGTAGATAACCAGAGGCAACTGAACTCTACAAGGCCCTTCTCATCTCTTCCTGAAGGATGGACAATTTTCACACATCAGCCAGGGAAGGGAAAAGGGGTTAGAGGCCAAAAGTGCAAGCACCCAAGAAATAGAGGGAAGGTCTGCTGAGTTTAAAGAGAAATGAGTACGTGCCCACTGCAAGTTAAAGGAGACGGGAGACTTGACCCATATTGGGAATGACAGCAGTGCAGGGCCACCATGGGAATGGCGGCCAAATCTCAATGCTGCCCCCATCGAGCATATAGCTTCACTTAATATACTGACTCCATACATATTGATCCCTGGAATCAGACTGAAGTATCCCATATAGCTCAGACATTACTTAAAGAATTTTTTAAAGTGGAAAGAAACATTTTAGATATTGATTGATTGTGTCTGTCTCCATGATTCTAATGTGCACTTTCACATCCTATACATTTTTTTGAACAATACACTTTGGCATTCAGCACATATTACCAGCATACATCAGTCGGAAAGCAGGGAAGACCACTGCGAGCCATGAACGCAACGCTGACCCGGCACCTACCTTACTGTACTGTGGTGTAGTGGAAAGAGCACGGGACTGGAAGTCAAGAGACTTGAGAGCTAGTCCTGGCTCTTCCACGACTAGCTGTGTGACCTTGGACAAGTCACTTAACCTCTTTGGACCTCAGTTTGCTCATCTGTAAAATGAAAGGGTTGGACTAGATCAGTGGTTTTCAAACTTGGACCCCGGACGTGCACACGGGATTCTGTAGGCAATGAAGAAATGGTTGCCCTGCCAATTGGGATTTAAAGGGCCAGCAAAACCCACTGATTCTTCTTACCTGTCTGATAAAATGAGGTTCTGCCTAAGATCTCATTTTTAAAGAAGAGACAAATCTGCTGCTAAAAATCAAGTTTGAAAACCACTGGACTAGATGACAGCTGAGGTCCCTCTAGGCTTGGAGACCCAAAAGTCTAATACCTCTGTTGTAATATTCGAAGGGCCAATGGCATGGCTATGCAGACAAAAGCAGCCAGGTGTGGTGGCTCAAGTGTGTAACCCAGCATCTTGTGTCAAGTTCTCCACTGTGTTACAGAATGCACTATTGGTAGTGCGTGTGTGTGTGTGTGTGTGTGTGTGTGTGTGTGTGTGTAGAAATCTATTCTAAGTACCATTTAGCAGCCCCACAGCATGATAACATGTGCACATCAAAACGTCTCTGACAAATCTCTGTTGCACAAGTACAGCATAGCTTCTGCCTCTCCTTATTTCAATGACATCAACAGCAACACGGAACACTGGGAGAATCCTGCCAGTTCTCACATGGATAGATTGATAGATTTGCTATCCCTCTCCACTCCTCCAGGAGCCTCTGATCAGGGCTTTTACTCCAACGACCCAATTCCATGAGACAAAGCCCATTTCCAAGCCCTAAATCATGAGGTCTTGAGTTCGTCCTCTCTCTTTAAGGCTCCTGGGCTCTAGACTGAGTCCCCTCTCAAGCTGAGACCTGCTGAAGTGATAAACACATCTCACTGAGGGTCGTTCTAGTTCACAGAGTGAGGAAGCTTCCTCGGGCCATCCCTGTCGAGTTATAAAGCCCACCCTACTCACAAGACCTGTGTCCAGAGTAGTAACTAAAACAACTTAATCGCCATTTGTCCCTCTGTCTTAGAAATGCCGATAGCTATCTATACCTCATTTGCTTAGGTAAATTCCATATTTGCATTTTTATTTGTTGCCCTTTTCAAAGTGTATTAGGCAAAATTAAATACCTTTTCATTGCCCCCAAACAGCCTTTCTCTTGAAATAATGTATCTACAAAGAAGTCCCCACAACACGTCCCAGGGCTACATGCAAGACAGTTTTAACTTCGAGAATCTACCTCTGAATGCTATGTTCCCCAACCAGAAGCTGTTATCTGAATGGCTGTTCATGGTTCAACACATAGTCCGTTCTACATACAAGGTCTGACCGAAGCCCTGCTGACTCAACACCATGGCTTTGAGTTCCTCTGTAGTAATAGGGGCGGCAGGGCTGCGTTCCCAGCACCCCGGCCGCCTGCCCGGCTAGCTCAGTCGGTAGAGCATGAGACTCTTAATCTCAGGGTCGTGGGTTCGAGCCCCACGTTGGGCACCAACTGTAGTAATAGGGGCGGCAGGGCTGCATTCCCAGCACCCCGGCCGCCTGCTCGGCTAGCTTATGCCCCAAAATAATTACACAGACACTGTATTCTTTTAATCACTGCTTGGCCCTTTAGCCATAGCCCTTACTGGCTAATCCTGTTATCCCGATCAACCCATCTCTAATAATCTGTGAGAACCGGTCTTACCGGGAAGATTCTAGCCTAGTCCATCCTGGGTCGGAGCTTCATAGCGTGCGTCTGCCCAGGAGCCAGGAGCATGGCGTCTCTCTCTGAGGCATCTCTCTCTGGCATCTGCTCCCGAGAGAGCTGTGGAGTCTCTGCTGAGGCATCTGCTCAAGAGAGCAGAGCTGTGGAGTCTGACCTCACTTCCTCTTCCTCCCAGCATTTTGTTCTGTTTACTCCTCCCACCTATGTCCTAACCAATAAAATGGGCCAGGGCAGTTCCTTTATTAGCCAATGACCTTCCTCCATCATTCCTCAACTTCTCTATCCTCAGACTCCTGCTCAGTAAAATGAGACCATCAGGAAAAATAACAGGGAAATAACCAAAAAGGCTAAATATGTCCTTTACCACACTGTGGTTATTATTTTGTTTTTAATTCCTCAGTCACACACACACACACAAAACCTATAAATAAAGTCTGCATGAGGGGCTGGAGAGACGGCTCAGTTAGTAAGAGCGCATACTCTACTTGCAGCAGATTCGAATTTGATTCCTAGCATCTATGTTAAGCAGCTCACAACCACATGTAACTCCAGATCTGATGTCTTGGGCACATGGCATGAGAACAGATCCATACATATATGTGTAACTAAAAAATAATTAAATAAATCTTTCTTAAATGCCTACATGAAACATTTATCAAGCCATGATGGCCAGTGTGCACTGGTAATCCCTCTGCAGCATACGACAGGCTGCAACATCCAGGGAGATGGCAAACAAGGGACATAAACCATCACGAAGAGGAGGTAACAGGGATGATGGGAGTGGGTGAGCTATGCTCAACCCTGGACTGTCAGTCGGAGAAGACAGGCTAGAAGGAAACTCTGATCTGAAATCCTGTCAGGCACAAAGACTTGCATTATTTTTTTCTTTAACTTCCTATGTCTATACCTCAAATTTTTGGAGGAAAAAGAGTCTATTAAAGAAAAGATTAAAGGCATTAATAACTTGATATCAAACCTATCTATCCTCTTCCAACATGTGTTGTTTGTCAAGATTTCCATAGCATGACTGCACCTTGACTCAAATGGGGAAAACCATTCTCAAAGCATAACTGGACAAGAAACCCCTTCGTAAACACTTCCAAATAGATGGCTTTAGATAAGAATTCCACATCATACATTTTTTTTTCTTGATGTGTATCTGAAACAAAAAAAAAAGTTAAATCTTCCTGCCCCTTTAAAAAGAAAATCACAGATAATTCTTCACGACATTCTGTGGTTTCTGAGCTCTTGCT